TATTTTGCCAGTTTATCATTTTGTTAGACGACACCTTCATTTATCAATACTTGAATTAAGAATGTTATCAGTTTACAACTCGATTGATTTCAATGTTATTTTGTTCATTAGTGGTTTTTATGTTAAAATCTAATGTTGATTGTGAAAAAAAGTAAATGTAGGTAAAAAACCAGCATAATCTTTCCAAATTAAAATGTTTTAACTAAAAAAAGCAATAAAATTAGTTTAAAAAAATTATTTTACACATAAAACGTTTGAAAACAAAAGTTATACTTGTTATAAAGTTTTATTTATTTTTGTTTAACAGGTATCATTGTAGGCTTAAATGGCAAAGTTTTAATTTTTTAAATTGTGTTATAAGCGTTAATATTTTTTGCATAAACGCTTGTACAAAAATTATCAAGTAACCTAATCATAGGTAAATTGGCCAATTTTTTTTTTATTTGGACTGAGCTGGTTTACGCTATTCTGGTTTAGACTGTACTTAGTTTGAACTGTGCTTGGTGTTTGGACTATGCTGGGGTTAAACTGGGTTGCCTTTTACAGTATACTGGTAGATTTATATGAAACGAAGATGGCATAGTTATTTTAAATAGTTATTATAAATTGAAAACAACCGGGGGCCTCTTAAACATCTATAGATGTAGTAAATAAGTAGAAAAATAATGTGCACGCATATTGTTCAAATAATAGAGCCAGTATGTTTTTATACCTAATGCAAAAAATATGAAGATTACTGATGTACAATTTTAACAAACCTTCACGGATACCTACCCAAAATTATTGTATTTATTTAAGAATTCATATTTTTGGTACCTATTCTTATACAATGTTTTAGCCGATGTTATGGTGCGGTGCGATGAGTGCACCGGTGAGCCATCGTTACACCAACTTAACAATGACCCTTTTGCCGAAGAGACAATTTTACCATCAGATATATTAGGAGAGAGATTGCATCAGAGATAGAACGACACAAATAACTAAAGAACCCCCGTCATCCACTATATGGAAAGAATCCACCTCTACTGCGACTTAAAGACAAAAAAAGCTTCCTTGCCACGATCCAATCGATAAAGAACTTATCAGAAAAAGAAAGTATCGCCCGGTGGAAAAAAATAGAGCAAAACACCATAAGGGAAATAAAAGAAGAGTTGCCTAAAGGAAAGGGCTGGAAATGGGGGGAATGGATGGCAATGAACTGCTCAAGAACAGGAGCCGGACAATGCGAAACCACACTCAAGTAATGGAACATATTAGAAGAAGAAGAAAGGGGCCACTTGTGATAAAAATGGCTTACACGTGGCAAATGACAAAGAGGCAGCAGTCACGGCTTTTTGGACGACTTAGATTTGAACGACATGACAGAAGAAGAAGAACAAAAAATAAAGAGATCGGCCGGTAAAAAGTATTGAGAAATAATTAAAAGCATTAAATATATTATGATATCGGACGCGATCAAATTTTAAAAAGACTCATCAGGCATAATTGAAATCTATTATGAAAATTCAAATTCGGCATATGGATGAAATTCGTTTGGGGTAAATTTTGTTTGAAAATTTTGAGGGACAGAGGCCTCTCAGTGACATTTTTTTGTCATTACTGTTAAAACGAATATATTTGTTCTATACTTGAAAGCCTAAAGAACTTATTACACATTAATATTGTAGTCAACTTTAGGTTGACAAGAAGCGAAAATATTCAGGGTGTAGGCTTCCCTTCTGAACTAGATCACACAATACTAAAAAAAATCTACAGGTGGCTTATTAAATTTTCAGGTTGCTAATTGTGAATATATATAGTTTGTTTTTCTTTTGAGAAGAGGTAAAAATTAATTTACAAACATGAAAAATACCAAAAATCTCCCCCCCCCTCTCTCTCTCACATACACACTCAATTACAAAAAGTTTTTTTTATTAAAATTATTGTTTGACATAAGACATTATTTATTAACTAAATGAAGTAAATTTTCAATTCTAAAACAAGTAAAGCTATTTACGACTATCGGACAATTCGTAATTACCTAGGTTTTCGTTAACTTCAGGATAGTCTATTCCTGTAACAAATACATCAAATCATTAGTTGCAGTTAATAAAACCAGGTTTAGGAGAAGATAGGGTAGATTTGAACAATGCTGATAGAATTATTTTCACTTTGCTGAAAATATAGAGAAATTAATATATTATAATATTATAATCACGCTGTTTGTGTAATCAATAGTAATAATATTAACAGTTATAAAATGGGGTGCATTTGATTTTGCGATTATAATGTGTACAACCATTTAACTACAGGTTGGAACTCCCAAACATGAAATATCCCATAAATACATTTAAGAAAAGTAATGATACGATTTTCATTTAAATCTACCCCGGTCTTCCCCTATATGTTTTATATAATATAACAGTCACTCTAAAATTGAGATTAATTAGACCAATTAATTAATGCGAAATATTATTGCGTGAATGTTAAATTATTTCTAAAAGCAACATTTGAATAAACAAATTTTGAATGATCATCAAAAACTTAAGCATAAAACATGTATTATAGCTTTATGACTTTAAGTTTCTAATCGTTTTTTAATGGTTTTTCTTTAGAACTACAAACTAGTATATTCATACATTTTTAAAATGTTATATTTACCAAATGCATCTATTAGTTGCCATTGCAACGTATCCTGCTAACCTATTGATTCTAAAATAAAAACAAAATATATTTTAATATTTCTTCATGTTTTGATATTTTTGATGAGGGATGGGGTTTTTTCTTTTGCCTGACTTTTGATAGGTATTTTTTTCTTTATTAATACATACACAATCTGTTACCACATATTGTTTTCATGCCGTTTGTACCTACGCAGTAACAATATTTATGTTGTCTCTCCATTTTTCTTTTGCCTGAATTTCGATAGATATCGGTATAGGTTTTTCTGAAATTATTTTTAACCAATTCCGTACTTCGAAAAATCTTTAGATCACCTTAGGTCTAAATTTGAGACTTCAAACCCCAAAACTTCACCTACAAACGCAAAATTTTTAAGAACCGCTAATGGCTGTTTTGGAAATTGTTTTTTATGATATTCCATCACTTCGGAATTTTTTACTCATTACCTTTTTTTAATAATTTTCTTTATTTTTTTCATCAATTTAATTACCATAAAGATAATATTGAAACGATTTACAGTGACACGTGACAACCTAGTTTTCAATTTATTTGTTGTTCTTTAATAATTGTCCATGACGTTTTTTGGTCCGTCGCTTAGGTGAAGTGTTTTAACACCATCATGTTACAAGACAATAATATTATAATTTACAACAAGAATTTAACTTTTTAATTTATTAACAATAAATTATTAATTATTAAATAATTTTTTATTAAACAACAACAGCTTCCAATAGAGTTAATTGTGAAGAAATTAACTGTTTAAAAAAAAAAAATACATTTTACTAAATATCGATGAATAATAGGTTCATATACAGAGTGCTCGACAGTGTACCCCCACTTAAATATTTATTGACTGAGAGAACCATATGGACACTCTGACACCCTGTATGTTGTAATAATTACAATATTACTTTTTTTGAATTATTATTATTTTTTATTATTTTATCATTTATTGAATGTGTCTTGCACAATAAAGAAAAATACATAATTTTACCTAGTAAAATAAGTAGGTCAATTTAAAACGTTTTTTTTTTTCATTTTTCACTTGGAGTTTAACCAGCTTTCTACGATTTTGCCGTGATTTGTCGTTTAATTGGACCATTCAGAGATATTAAATTCTCAAATTCATGTATAAAAATGGCTGAGACTGGCTTTTATGGTAATGTACCCTAACAAGTAACAACTTTAGAAAATAGTGTTAGCTATAAAATTCTTGGACAACCAAATTTCGGAAATAGTGTTTAATAAAATTGATATATCGAGACGATTATTAATTGAAGAAGTTGGTGGTTGGTAATATAGAACAGCAAAAACATCTAAAACATATTAAAAATTATATAGTAGCTACTGTTGTTATTTTATGTCAATACGATTTATATTGTATTGCACAATTATCCAAATTATCAATTATTTCAATGTATTTCGTAATAAACAGTTTTGCTCACGAATATAAGCACTTTTAGTGTTTATGTGTTGATATAATTTATATATGATATTATAAATGTAAATTAAATGGCATTTGATTCACATGAGTTTTATTACATCCGATAGATATGTGTTAAAACTTGTATACATTGCCACAGGCGTTGTGAACAATTTTGTTGGAAACGTAAAATAACTGAAAATTTGGTGACATTTGGAATTTCTGTACATCACTTTTGTGTTATGAGTCATTCGAGTTTATAACTAAAATTATTTGTATTACATTGTTTTACATTCCATTATACAGTTTTCAAAACTTTTATAGTCTTTTTCAAATAAGAGCGCACAGAGCGGCTACTTGAAAACAGCGTTTATAAAAACGGGTTATTTTTATAGCCGAATTAATTTTTTTAGCTTCGATGTGGAGCAGCGATGCTATTGGTTTTACAATGATGTGAGTTTTTTTTTGTGTCTGTAACCACTGTAATTTTTAATATTGCAACATCAAGCAATAAAGCCATAATACAAAAATTATTTTGGCAGACATATTAGTAGTCAGGCTAAAATCGATAGAAATGCGCCATGTAGATTTTTGGAGTATAAAATTAAAGATTCCTAGTTGTATTTCGTCGTTGCTGGCGATAGGTATTGATGGGCTTTAAACATTGAGATGGAAGGAAAATGGAAGTAGATGAAATGATTATGCTCTGATGGATTTGTGGACTAGGTTAAACAAAAAAAGTATGAGTATATAAGAAATTTAGAAATAACGTTAATAGCAGGAAAAATGAGAGAGGATAAGTTAACGAGTAATCTGTAATAAAGACGTAATTAAAAAATAAATATAATTAATTGCAAGTACAACTAATTTTGTCCTATATTATATAATTTAATTATGAATCATTTTTACCAATAATTATACATAATATTCATAATTTAGTACAAATCAAAAAATTAGTACAAATACAGGACTGTATTTAACCACGACCGTTAGTGTAAAGTTTCCTATATAAATACTACATACTTTTATACGAATTAACTAAGTAAAAAAAATAAAAATCCTAACCCTCGAGATTATTTTAAGTAAAAATTGACAGGTAATTAACTAGAAAACTGTTTATAATTATCGTTTTTGAGAATTCCACTAAAATATTGAACAATTACCCGTAACATAAAATCGTTTTTTTCCGAAAATGGCCATATACCTTCGAAAAAACCAAGATGCCCTCCTCTTGCAGTCAACAAAATTGCCACGTTATCCGTAGTTGTAGCCTGTTCTAGAGGTATATCTAAAATCATAAATAGTTACCGGAACTGAAATAGTATTTCAATATGTACATAACATAAGCACAAGTATATAAACTTGAGATTTAAATTTACAATGTAAATAAGATATAGGGTGAAGGAAGGTATTTTCGTGGCATAAGCAAATTCGTGATATAGTTTGTTTGATCGTTTCGCGTAATTCCCTATTAGAAAATTGTCTTTAAAATCACACTGATTGTTAAAATAACAGTTGTTTTAACAATCAGTGTGATTTTCAAGACAATTTTCTAATAGGGAATTACGCGATACGATCAAACAAACTATATCACGAAATTGCTTATGCCACGAAAATAACTTCCTTCACCCTACATATGATTATGTGCATTTATATAACATTATGTTAATTTTGTTTCTGTATTCTACTGTACACACACTATTCTCTGTTAATTGTTACAAAAACGCCAAACGATGGACGGAAATATATGTAGATGACAAAATAATTTCTCATATTACCCAACAGTACTGAATAAATTAGTAGGTAATTAAAAAACACAATTGCTGAAAATGTAATTTAATATTGATTAGGTACACACTCAAGCAAATGAAATAACGTATTAATTGAAAAAAAAAATAATAACCAATTTTTTTTTTTAATTTTAACATATAAATAATTTACTTTACCTTGTTCTAAACAAAAAATATCATCAGCAGCGCTCAAGCATAAACAAGGTGAATGAAAACGGTCTATTTTATCATGTAATGAAGCAGAATCATAGTATTCATCAACTGTCTTGTAACCGGACATGTGTATTGTGTAATTTCTATCAAATTCTCTTAAAGTTTTACTCTAAAACCACACAAAATAAAAAAAATATAATTTATATTTTAAACACAATTTATGTATACATTTTCATACCTTAATTACTTCGTTATAATTCCATTTGTGGTTTGGAGAATTCAAGAGTTTTCTATTACTAAAAATAATTAAATATTATTTAAAACTATGCAGGGAAGAAAAAAATAGATATAATTGTTAAATCATAACATAAATACTTTTTGACTTGTGTTGAAAGCTCTTTTGTGATAATAGAACCAATCATTCGATTTATGATTGGTTTCTCAATATTAGACGCAGCAATATTAATATTCCAAGGAACTGAAACAATCATTGCTGCACTGAAATGTTTGTGCGTTAGTTGTTCGTTTGATTGTAGATAATTTCCCAAAATCACACTAGATAACAACAATTAAAACATTGGTGTAACCCTATCAAAACTTTGTATTTTACAAATAGACAATTATTATTACAGTTACTTACCCACCCAAAGATGTTCCTAACCCCCCTACAACTGTTTTAGGGTACTTTCGTTTTAAATGATTAACTACCTCTGTGAGATCTTCTATATTGTTTGCAGAATAACTTCTTGGCGTCTAAGTATAAAAAAAAGTGTTGTTGTCAAATTTGAATTTAAATAAGACAACATTTAAAATAAGTCCGATTCAAATATTATCAAAGTAGGTCATCAATAGGTTTGCCATTTAGATTTATACATTTGTGAATGTTTAAATATTATATTATATAAACAGAAGTTAACATTTTTAGTGAAATGGATTACTACCAATTGGCAAGTAATACATTTTTTTCTTATAATAATTTTGGTTGTAAGTATATGCCATACTTTCAATTTGCAAATTTCCTCTTAAGGTTAACACGATTAACAAATATGTTACCTTTAGTTCTACACCTCCAACTCCTCTATAGTTGAAGACAACTACGCGATATCCAACTTTTTGCAAGGCTAATGATACAGCTCTCACATACTCAGAATGACTGTCACTAATCAATCCAGGCAAATACAAAATTGTGGCACATTCAGCTTTTGAATTTTCATTTGGTTCCAACCAATCTAATGCTACCTGACCACCGTCTTTAAGATTCAGTATTTCCCTGGGGAAAAATATGGTTAATATTAATAACAACAGTACTTATTAACAACAATGGCTATGTACCTATTATATTTTATAGACGGCACAACTAATGATCGGATAATAAGTGCTAAAAGATTATGAAAACGACTTTCAAAGCACCACATTACTGGCCAGTATTCTTCATTGATAATCGGCACGTTTTGGAGAACAAATTTCTTAAAATTACCTTCTTTGCAATACAGTTTGGGTTTCTAAATAAAACATTTTTTTATTAAAATACTAAAAATTAAATAAACATTTAAAAATCAAAGTAATAATATTTAATTAGGAATTGAATACTCCTTTACAGGCATACATTTTTCTACTTATTATTACTTTGACTACGAAATAATAATAATAATTTGCCACTCTAATTGCTGCAGTTACTCCAAAAACTTAAACCGGAGCCCAAGAACACACTGAATTAGTTAAGTTCTTCATAGTAGTATTCATAATGATGTGCGATTTGTAAGAACAAGTTTGTATTAAACATAGCGAAACGAACTGTACTGAAAAAATGTCACCGCAGTAAGTATATCTAACATTGTGTGAATTTCTTTTTGTTGTGACCAGCGTTTTGCTTATAAATAATATCATTTTATGAGAATATTACAGAATATTATACAGAAATTAACTGTATATAATTTGTAAAACATCTACACCTTAGACATAAATAAAAAACGGACTATTTTTGATTTAGTGGAAACCAGTTTTTTTTTTTAAATCTAGTGTGTAATTGAGACGGGAAAGAGTACCCGACAAGACGTCCGAACCAAATATCGTCATCATCTGGCTTGAAAAATTATAACTCTTTAATAGTATTGACTACCACCGGATATATGGTTTCTGGCCTATTCACTTGACAGAACGGGTCGCCGGTCGCTCAAGTTATTTTGTCTATTTGTCCTAGTTTTTAATTCTTTGAAAATTGTCAAATCACTCAAAAATAATATAAATGCAACTTCTTACTTTCACTACAGATGTCAAATAATAATATGTAAATCCAATAATTGCAGTTGATCCGATAACACAGATTAAAAAAAAACAACTTAAATTTAATATTTGGTTAACAAAAAAGGCCATTGTATGAATAACGGTTATAAAATAGGTTAAACTCTTAATAAAAAAATAAAAGGAAATAAAGTATGCTCGAAAATGATTTAATACATATAATATTATTTATATTTATATTAAACTGCACTGTCTGAAAACTACAAAAGACACCATTTACACATCTTACTGATAGTAACCGCAAGTTGTATGAGTAGAAAAATACAATATCCCACGCACGTAAGCTATTTCTTATTTAATATATTTTACATATTAGTATGTAAAACGCTTATTTAGTTTCAATTTTATATTATAGTTTTAGAGGTCAAATGCATTTAATTTAATGTTAATTAATTTAAAGTTCTTTTATAATTGAATTTTCGCATGTGAAAGCAATAGTTCATTGTTTCAGTGGAAAAGTCGCTAAATTATAATAATCATAATTAAAATATACAATTTTAGCGATAAATTGTGTATGCAAAATCACAGAAAAATAAAAAAAATAAGCCAGTTCAGTAGGGCGGGCGCTTAGTGTTAAAGGAGCATATTAAGGCGGGAGAGGTCACAGCTGTATATGAATAATTACAACTGAAAGTCATAAAACCACTTTTAAATAAACGCTAAACAAATCGTTAAAACATTGTATTGACATATGCTAAAAACGGTATTTTTAGTATTAGGGTGGATATGATTAGATATTCATAAATTTAGCAGCACAACCTTAGCAGACATTTGTTAAACTTATCCAACAAATTTGTTAGTAGTTTGTCGGTCATTGTTTGAGAAGAACGAAATTTTTTTGGACCTTATTTACGCTTCTAGAGCTCTTTGATGTTCCAAAGTTATAGTAAAAATAATGATGACAAACACGATTTTTTCCTAATATATTATTGTTAATATTATATAAATTATACGTAAAGACCATCAATTTAATTTGGAGTTCACATGGCAACGTCCATTCAAAACATTTAAAAAGTTCACCCCTTCCCCTTCAAAATCAAGAAAAAAACTTTGTTAAAAACAAATTTGTATTACTTTTTACATTTTTTTCTCATATTCAATCGAAATTTGTATTTTTAATATTTAACTTGTAAACCTTAAGACATACGTTTTTTTTCAATAAAATTGTTTTTTTATTCTAAAAAAAACTGTATAAGTGTTTTAACTAGATAATAATAGTTAATGGAATCCGACCGTACACAAAAGTTATTGCAAAATCGTATGCCGAACATTAAAAAAAACGTAATAAGAGGTTAGGATAATGTAATGGAACCACCACTTTTTATAAATTTGAACATTTAAAACTATCAAATGTTTTTGCATTTTTTTCGATATTTGTATGTAGTGCATACGTGTTAATTTATTACTTGGAAGTACCAGGTACGGCAGTTTTCTTTTCTTAATAATTTAAACTTAATTCTTTACATTTTAAACGTTATAGATCGTGAGAAACCTGTATACATAAAAAAAAAAAACACTATGAATTTTAAAATCGACAAAAACACCCAACAAATTTACATATTTTTTAGCTCGTTATAACTCTTAAAGTCATGGATCCCCCTTACCATATGCTTCGTCACCACTATATGCCCCGTCCCCACTGAACTGGCTTTTAAAAATTTTCTTTTGTTTTCAAATTTCTTAAACACAAATTCTGCTCTCAAGCGGGTACAATATTACAAATACACAACTGTTTTAAGTTTTAATACGCACATATAGTCTTAAAACAATTACTAAACTAAAAGTCGACGTGAATATTTATACGTTATTAAATTAAAAACTTTAATTATTTGGTTTTATGAATATTCAAAACGGCAAAGTACAAAATTATGATTTTCGAATAATGGGATTTTTGTTAACATAAATATACTACAAAATGAAACCTTATTATTGTACAAAACGTATGTGCTGTGATGTATAATATTATGTAATATTTTTGATCACTTATTAGTATACATTATTTTATTTTAAATATATTAAAATAGACTTTTTAAGTCAAACCATAACTTTTTTTTTTCTAACATTAATACTCATCACTTCTTTAAAAATTCATTAATTTAGCTGTTGTGATGACAAAATCACAGTATGAACTAAAGTTTTTTATAACTACTGCTCGTAAAATAAAATAACTTATTCAATTAATATATAACTATTACTGGGTTTTGGCTATAAGTCCCGAATGTTAAAATGTTACCACTATAAATTGAGGACACATGACGCAATCATCTAACCGTTGCGTTACAAATCTAATAAACATATTTATCGATATTTGTATTTCTGCGCTTACAGATTCGCATCAAAGAGTTTTTATTGAAAGTAATTAAATCACTTTCTGTTGTTATCATTTTACATAGATCTATACGTTTACCCCATTCGAATACATATGCATTGACCTTGCTTATGGTTTCAATTTTTTTTTAAGAAAACAAATCAAAATTGACTATTAATTTATAAATAATATATCAATACTAAATATTATTCTATCATAAATAATAAACATTTTTGTTTTTATTATACGTATTATTTATTTGAATTATAATAGCCAATTAATTATGACAAAATGGAATTTTATAGCTGTACAGATTTTTTTATTTTACGAAATGTGTTTTACAATTGGAATATCATATTGAACGGATAACTATTCTGCGTTTTTTGATGAATGAGGTGTTTCGAATTCTGTGTCGGTTTGATTTTCAATTATGCTGGACAGATGAATAATTTTATAGTAGGCCAAATAATCCTTTATATGTTAATCACAAAAAACCCAAAGATTTATATATTTTGTATTCTCAACTTTCAAACTAGAACTGAACTAAATTTTATTCAATAATTTAAGAGGTCATATTTTTATGAATTGTTTTAAGCCAGATATTATACACTAAAATATTAGCCAGAAACTTGATATATTTTAATATACTAGCCACCTTAAATACTAGTTTGTTACTGCTTACTTATATACTATATCATTATCTATAATTCTACCACTACTCTAAATTTATTTGGTATTTAAATGCTCTTTCGTGGTTGCAGCCTCTGCTGAATTTGATACTGCCTTTAAAATACTATTCTAGATTAAAAATACATTAGCCAAATATGTGCCAATATGTTTAAAGGTCCTCCATTACTTCATAAAAACAAAATAAATATAAAAGTACTAAATGTAGAGGATTATTTTATTATGTTTTAAATGTTCAAATTATACCTATCATTAGCAATATATCTTAAAAGCATTTCTTGTTTTTTGAACAATGTGTTCAAGTCTTTTTGACATTTTTATCGTGTTAGCGTTTTGAGTTTTTGACCGTCAGTCAAGTCTTATATACACCGCCCAATAGTAGAAAGTAAGTTTTAATAAAAACAGTCATTATTTACTTGCTGCTATCCGTTTGCTTGCTGCATTTTAAGATGGTGTCGACATTTATTATTAAATAATGACGAATATTAAGTTGTATATTTTATTTTTATTTATGCTAATTTTATAATTTGAAACTTTTTTGAATCTGAACTCGTAATTTGTTTATACTAGGTCTGGTGAGTTCTGCATTGAGAAAAGTGGATTGTGCATGCGAATCGACAGGTAGTTATTATAACTATACAGAACATACATATAAAGCTTATAAAATAAATATAATGTAATATATTTGATCACTTATTAGTACATATTATCTTATTTTAAACAGATTAAAATAGACTTTTTACGTCAAACTATAACATTTTTTTTCTAACATTAATACTCATCACTTCTTCAAAAGTTCATTAATTTTGCTGTTGTGATGACAAAACCACAGTATGAAAAAAAAGTTGATCATAACTACTGCTTGTAAAATAAAATTACTTACCCAATTATTATATAATTATTACTGGGTTTCGGCTACAAGCCCAGAATGTTAAAATGTTATCACTAAAAATTGAGGACTTGTCATTTGAATCATCTAACCGTTGCGTTACAAATCTAATATACACATTCATCAATATTTGAATTTCTGCGCTTACAGATTCGCATCAAAGAGTTTATTTGAAAGTGATTAAATCACTTTCTGTTGTAATCATTTTACATAGATCTATACGTTTACCCCATTCGAATACATTGACATTGTTAATTGTTAAAAATTTTTTTTATAAAACAAATCAAAATTGACTATTAATTTATAAATAATATATCGATACTAAATATTATTCTATCATAAATAACTAAACATTTTTTTTTTTATTAAACGTATTATTTATTTGAATTATTATAGCCAATTATTTATGACAAAATGGAATTTTATAGATGTACAGATTTGTTTTATTTTATGTAATGCGTTTTACCATTGGAATATCATATTGAACGGATAACTATTCTGCGTTTTTTGACGAATGAGGTGTTTCGAATTCTGTGTCGGTCTGATTTTCAATTTTGCTGGACCGATGCACCTAATTTTAATAGTAGGCCAAATAATCCTTTTAAAGTGAATACCCAGTCGGGTTTGTACTCAATGTAAACTGATTTATTTTGCGGATCATACTTAAAGCCAGTAGAATGCTTGTCGTCGTATTCACTTACTAACAACTTGATGAGAAATATGTAATGTTTTTTTTAATTTTTCACTTTTCGAAATTGGTCTGCAAAATTGTTTATAAAAATCACTTAAGCGTTTCCTGGTGTCTTTCATCTTTCCTTCGGTAGAATCAAGTATTGCGTCGTGGCTACTATTTTCGGCCGTCAAGATATCGTAGTGGCTCTTAAAATCTTCCATGGCTTTAAAAACGCCTTCGTGGAACTTCGTTTCTGGGGATAGCTCTTGAATACACGAAAGTGCACCTTGGTACCGCACCACGATTTGATCGATATTTCTGATTATGTCCAGAAACAATTCGACACAATACACCCCTTCGATTGGTTTTTCAATTCTTTTACACTGGTAAACTGCGGCAAAGTTGCTTTAAAATCAAAATGAAAAAATACAAAATCGTAAATTGTACCAAGTGGTATCTAAAAAGAATATTATGTTGTCCTATTATAAAAAAGCATTTCAACGGCAATAATGTGTTTGAAATTGTATTCGATCGCCGGTCTATAATTATTAGTGGATTTCGATACCCATAAACTGTCATAATTAACAATGTATTGAATTTCCAAATACCTATTATACTCAAACATAGCAACTTAGAAATTTACCTACCCACTGT